TGTTGTTGTTGTTAAGTGCAGCTGAGTTGGTTCCAACTTATAACCATCCATTTAGGGTTTTTGAGGAATGTCTGGTGGGTTGAACTGCTGACTTTTTGGCTAACAGTCCAGTGCTTATCCTAAAGCACCACACCAAGACTTTTTATAACTATTGTTGTAAAGTGCCGTCGAGTCGGTTCTGACTCACAGCGACCCTGTATAGGGTTTCCTAGGAGCAGCAGGTAGGTTTGAACTGTTAATCTTGTCATTTAAACCGACCTTGTGGTCCAGTGTTTATTCTACAGCGCCATACCAGGACTCCTTTATAATTCTAAAATGCTAAAAATATGACTCAAACAAATAGAGGGAGCTTCATCAACTTTGTGGAAAAGTTCCGTTATCTTCTTATTCAATTTTTCCACAAACTTTTGAAGCCCCCTTGTATATAGTGAAAAAGTATCATCACTTATTTAAATCATTTCTTAGCGCTCTAGTGGTTTAAACATTGGTAGGTCCAACCCATCAGCTGCTCCTCTGGAGAGATATGAGACTGTCTGCTCCCGTAAAAATTTACAGCCTTGGAAAAATGCTATACAGGGTTTTTCCCTGTATAGTTGCTATGAGTTGGAACCGATTTGACGGTGCTTAAGAATAACAGCGTAGGATTCCTAGTGTTGCTGTAGGATAAGCACTGGACTGCGAGTCAGCCACTCCTCGTTAACCCTATACAGGATCGATAATGAGTCGGAACTGATTCGATAGGCACTTAACAACAATCTGGTTGCCATGAGTCAGAATTGACTTGATAGCATTCGGTTTGGTTTTTAGGTTGTAGCTACCTAAGATGCCCGTAAGAAGAACACCACAAGTGGCCACCTTCAAAGAACAGAAATATGTCTCACAGTTTTTTTTGGAAGTGAGGAGTCTACATTCAGGGTGCTGGCAGGACTGTGCTCGGTCTGTTTATAGGAGAAGATCAGTTCTTGTCACTTTTAGCTTCTGATAATAGCTCTGGGTATTTTTTGGCATACCTTGGATAGTAGAGGGATTCTTACAAGGCATGTTCCCTTTGTGTGTTTTTCCATGTCTTTTTTTCCTTGTTAATAAGCTATCAGTTAGAAGGGATTAGATTTAGCAGCCACCCTATTCTGGTTGTATCCCCATGAATATAATAAAAGGATAATCTTATTTCTAAACCATTATATCCACTGATACACAGGTGAAGCATTTAATATATCTTCTTTTGGGGACACAATTCAATTCATCACAACTCATTAATGAAGGAACTGGCTTGATAGTAAAGCTGCTATTATTTGTTTATTTAAGTTTTTATTGTGAATTATGTGTTAGTTTACATGGGTCATCATTATCTTTACATTCATCCAATGATCATTGCAATGATCACAATCCCCTGCATGCATCATCAAACAACCAAGGGGTACACCCCACACTCCTGCCCCTCTCCCCCTCCCCACCAGTTGCCAGTCCATAATAGGCCCTCTCCCTCCCTGAGTCCAGATTCCCCAGCCACTCGATCTGTCTTGGCCTCCATCCCTAGCGTCGTCTCCTCCCCGGACAGGGTCTCACACTATGCTTTTCTCCCTTGATGGTTTCAGGGATCTCTGCTCCTGGACTGCAAAATCAGCCACTCTCCTTTTGTTACCAAACATTTACATTTAACTTTCCAGCACTCACTTGTAAGCCTGCCGCTTCTTGCCTTTGTAGCCCCCCTTTTTGGGTACCCAATGTCCAAGTTCCCCATTCCTGTCGACCCTGTGTATCAAGGGGATGGGAATGATCCTCATCATAGAGATTTGCCTGCTCCTTTGTCATATTACATCGACAAGCATAGGTCAAGTTCATCCACTTGTAGTGGGTTACTCTTTCTTTCTTTTTTTTTTTTTTGTTCCTCTTCTTTCTTCCTCTAATTGTGTTCTGATCATCCAGCCATTGATGCCAGGTCAAATGGGTACTATCTGAAAGTGTGGGTGTTCTTGTGCATCTCCCCTCACTTCATATCAGCTGGATGCTTCACACTCCGTTCTGGTCCTCAGGGGCCATGTCCCTGCCCCTGGGCTCAGGAGTCCCCAGGTCTCGTCATACTGCTGGTTAACCAGGTCTCAATCCAGGTTAACAGGAGTCTTAGTTCACAACTTCATTGTAAAGCTGTTATTATTAAGGCCACAGGTAGAATGACTTTGGGACCCACCTGGACGTTAGACACTTAAGTTCTAGGAACCCAACTACAAAGGAAAGTTTAAACAGAGGAAAGATGTGCTGAAATAAATTTGTCTTTTGAGACAAACTGGTTAATGTTTTATAAGGCAATTAAAAGTAATGTTTGGGATTGTCTTCTCTGTAAAACATTAATCATTCATATCTCTGTAAAAATATATAAATTAATCTGTACCATCACAGAATCTTTCTCCTAATCAATAGAAAACACTAAGTCAAGCAAAATATATCCTCCAGAGAATAAAATAAGCTGTGGGTAGGTCTGTTAGTGTTCCAATATAGCGTTGAAAGAGAAATGGTTTTGTTTTATTTCCAAGTTGTGGATAATTTTTATTTACAGAGTCCTTCCCAATTTTTCTTTTCCCTCTTATTATAAGTGCATTATTTATAGTCCTCTGAAGGTCTTCTCTTCCGCTTCTTTTTGTGTCTGTCATGTTAGGTATGTGCCGTGGAACTTTCACGAGCCCCACCCAGGACAGTACCAGTTTTCTGATGACCACGATGTGGAACATTTTATTCAGCTGGCTCATGAACTGGGACTGCTGGTTATCCTGAGGCCTGGACCCTATATCTGTGCGGAGTGGGACATGGTGAGTATGGCTAGACTGGGCTCTGCTGCTCAGTGTGTGTGTGTGTGTGTGTGTGTGTGAACAGGAGTAGGCTGGCAGAGGGTCTGGGGGGAAATTCTCAACATGGAGCCTGTGATTGTGTCCACTTTCACCTTAGGGAAGCACCTAGCAAATGTTGTTTGTTGCTTACAAGTCTCTCGGAGACCCCACGTACAGCACAAAGAAACATTGCCCTGTCCTGTGCCATCTTCCTGATTGCTGGCATGTTGAGTCCATTTTTGCGACCATTGTGTAATGCCTTCCAGCATAGGGCCATCATCTTCCTGAGGTACCTGTTGTTGATAAGTGCTGTCAAGTCAATTCCGACGCATAGTGATCCTATACAGTGTTTCCAAAGAGCAGCTGATAGGTTTGAACTGCCAACCTCATGATTCAAAGTCCAACACTATGCTAGTATGCCACCAGGAGTCACCTAGATAGAGGAAAGACTAAGAGTTAGAAGGCATGGGTGCTCCCCCTGGCAGTCACCCATCATAACTCAATTTTGTCATCTGTGTTATTGTTGGAGTCCTGATGTAATGCTGTAGATTGATGTGCTGAGTTGCAAAGTCAGTTTGAACTGCAATGCCAGTGGTTCAAGCTCACCAGCTTCACCTATGCAGGGTTGCTACGGCACATGAAATATCACTGAGTCGATTCTGACCCATAGCAATCATGTATAGGGGTGAGCTTGAACTGCCTACCTTGTGGTTCAAGCCAACCTTGTAGTCCAGTGCATTAACCCACAGTGCCACAGCAGGACTCCAGTTGTCATCTATAAAAAGGAGTTAATGGTGTCTCCTCCATCTGTCTCCAAGAGTAGTTGTGAAATAAATGAAGTAAAATAAAATGATATGAAAAGGCTTTGGTTAGCTTAACATTATATCATTGCAGACTGATGTCATTTTTACTGTATGTTATTTCTAAGTTCTCTGAAAGATATAGATCAGAAAGTCCAGCTCAAACACCCCTCTTCATGAAACTTTTCATCTCACTGTTGATAGTAATTTCTTTTCCTGAAATAGACCTTAAGGTGGCTTCCTTTATTGTTTTGTTTTGTTTTTCTTTCCTAGGGAGGGTTACCTGCTTGGCTCTTAGAGAAAGAGTCTATTATTCTCCGTTCTTCAGACCCAGGTAAGTTGGTACTAACATCTTTGCAGAATTTATGAATTATGAATTTGTATCACTAAAGGGTTTGATGTTTTGAAGGCTGGTATACTTCTGTGCCAACACTTGCAGTTTAGTGAAAGTCTGAGTGTTAGAGTGTTAGTCATCATCCATTGTGTAGTGCCAGATGTTTGAACATAGAGGAAATGAGGCTATTTTGAACTGCTTAACCAGATTGTCGAAGTGGCACTAACTTTTTTGCGGTTGACTGACCGACTTTACTGCTTTATCTTCCTACACTTTCAGTGTATGACCCAACCATTGGGAACACCTAGCTCATCAAAATGGTAGCTGAAGTGCCTTTTTATTTCTTTGTTTATTTTTACAGTGACATTTTTTTTTCTTATCTTTCTAAACCTCAAGAGATTATGTTGCTGTAAACTTTGACCAGTCACAAGGTTCCTAGTTGCATTTCTGTCTTTTGAAGGTTTCCATCAGTTTATCTTGCTGATGATAGTGATGGTGGAGGTGGTGGTTGGTGGTGAAGATTATCCTAACCACACTTACATTCACTAAGTCGACTGTGTGAAAACCTTTTCTATTATACTCTGTGTCTATTTCTCTCATAGTATATCACTCTCATGTTTTGCACTCTTAATCTATTATTATGTTATTGCATATATTATCTCCTCTAATCCTTACAGCAAATTTATAAAATATGTACTTTTATTATTCCCATTTGCAGTACCAATATCTAACTTCTTGTTGTTGTTAAATGCCATCGAGTTGGATCCGACCTATAGCGACCCTATACAGGGTTTCCGAGGAGCAACTGGTGAGCTTGAACCGCCAACCTTGCAGTTCAAATGGCTTTGCAGTCTGGCACGTTAACCCACAACGCCACACCAGTACTCCTTATTAGGATTTAATTTAAAAAATTAACAACCTACTGCAAGAAGAAAACACCATTGAACTACTCTTTCCTTCATTCAACAAATAGTGGTTGCTTCCTGTGCTCCAGGCTTTGTCCCTTAGTGACAAGGGCCGGTAATTTGGCATATGAATCCTTGTCCACTGAGGAGTGTGCAGTTGAGGGCAAACTATCTTGCAGGACAACTGTTGTCAGTCTTTTATTATGTATGATTGTCCACTTTAGAAGGTAGTTGTAAAATGTGGGTATATCCCCATCTTTGCTGCCAGCCCCACTGTAATAAGACTTTATTGGTGTTTCTTTATGCTAAAAGGTGTGTAATGATGTTAAACTTGTCTTATTCTCCAGACTATCTTGCAGCTGTGGACAAGTGGTTGGGAGTCCTTCTGCCCAAGATGAAACGTTTCCTGTATCAGAATGGAGGGCCAATCATAACAGTTCAGGTAACCATGGTGGGAGAAAGGTTTTCATATACTCACATTCTATACATGATAGGAATAAATGCAGAACAAGACTCAAACGTCTTTCTTTCAGAGGTAATGCTACTGACGGTGGTTTTATTTAAGCGGCATTGCCAATTATGAGTACCAGACTCTGTGCTGGATGCTATTTTTTTCTTCAAACAACCCTCTCTTTTTAGATGAAGATGTTCAAAGAGGTTAAGTGACTTGACCAATGCCACCAAGTTTCCAGTTGACAAAATTATGATTATGCCCTTTCTCCAATCATCCCATAATCTGTTCTCTTTCTCTTGTGTCCTGTTGCCCCTGGTGTCAGGTGTGGCACTGAAATTCTCTGATATCTGTACTGCTGATGCAGTCAATTAACACTGGTATGGAAAGGGATGCTGTGAACTGGGGCCTGTCTTGCTTCCTGCCCCCACTTTCTTCCATGTTTTCTTTGCCCTCTATGTTAGAGTCTTCTTTTACCTAAATAATTGTACAAATACCCCAAATCATTGAAAGTATTAAAGGACTGATTCATTGTGGGGCAAGTATTTTCCAGATGAAAAACCAGGACATTTAACTTTCAATGATTTGGGGTGTTTGTAAAGTTATTTAGGTGAAAGAAGTCTAACGTACAGCCTTGTTTATTGGACATTTATCAACTCTGCTGTTGAGTTGATTCTGATTTACGGTGGCCCCATGTGTTACAGTGTAGAACTGCTCCCTAGGTCTTTCTTGACTATAATCTTTGCACAATACATCACCAGGCCTTTCTTGCACAACACCTCTGGATGGGTTTGAGCTACCAGCCATTAGATAAGTAGTTGGGCATGATTGAAATGAATAAAGGTGTAGAAAACAGGCTGTATCGTGGGAAATTGAGGGAGTGCAGTGTGGCTCTCCTTAAGGGAATGCAGTTCAGATTTGTTTTTCATGAACAGCACTAGGGACAGGTCACTGTGGGCAGAGGAGCATGACGTCTCTTTTTCCCTGCAGATGTTGAAGCAGTCAGTAAGTGGGCTGAGCTGGCTAGCTTGTGGATCTGTGTCTTCTCAGTGGAGAAGTACAAGTAGCATTTCAGTGCCGTGTTAACCCTCTTGAGTCTGCACTGGCTAAGCATAGATAGAGCCACACTTAACTGTATGAAGATTTTAAGGTTAAAACCTGGATGCACCTTTGCTCTGAGCTGCTGCGTCCACTTACTCTTTCCTGGTCTTAAGAGTTTTGCTTTATTTTTTTATTTTTATTATTTTTTCAACTTCTCTCTTTTTTTCTGTCCTGCCTTTTCCCTGAATTACTTTCAGTTTCTACTCACAACTTCCCTCCTGCCATTTGGTTATTGAAACCCCTTGACAAATGCCATTAAGTATTAACTTTAGAGAGAAGAAAGTTGAATATCTCTGGAACATCTCTTCTTGTGTCCATCCCACCAACACCCACAGTGAACCCTGATAGGTGGCCCTCCTCTCCCTCTACCCCACTGGTGTCACTAAAAGGGTTTGGGGCATGGTGACCACACTGGGCAACCCTCTCTGAGAGGACAACACCGAAACACGATTGTCTTCAGCAGAAATTTACAATTTTTTTTATGTTTTATTGTGAATTATGAGATAGTTTACATGGGAGAACATTAGCTTTACATTCATCCTATCTCATATCGTTTCATTGCCATTAAGTGTTAACTGTAGAGAGGATCAAAACCAACAAAAGGGTATACCTGCAAGCCTGCCCCTCGGTCATCAGCACACAGCCCCTCTCCCTCTCTGTGTCTAAAGTCTCCAGCTGCTCCATCTCTCCACATTATCATCTCTGCCTCCATCTCAGTCATCACTGCTTCTCTGGGTAGGGTCCCACTCTCCACTCTCCTCCCTTGATGGTCCTAGGGACCTCTGCTCCTAGACTGAAAAGTTAATCACTCCCTTCCTTGCTATAAAACGTCTACCTTTACATTTCCGACCCTCACAATCAGTCCTGATAACAATTATTCACTATTGTATCACAAGAGACCCATCTGCATTTCATTGTATCAGCCCCGCCTAGTCAAATTGAATACTACTCACTGGAGATTCTATCTTCCTCCAGGCTCTCTGGATCTAGGTTCCCTCTTGAAAGCTTGTAAGCTAGTCACTTCTTGCCTTTGTAGCGCCCCCCCCCCCTCCTTTGGGTAGCCAATGTCCAAGTTGCCAATCCCTGTCTACTCTGTGTATGGAGGGGGTGGGAATGATCCTTGCTGTAAAGATTTGTTCCCTCTTTTTGAGCTGCTGCATCCATAGGTGTAGGTCAAGTTCATCAAACTGTATCAGATTACTCTTTTTTTCCTCTTCTTTCATCTTCTAGTTGAGCTCTGATCATCCAGTCATTGAAGCCAGGTCAAGTGGGTATTATCTGCAAGTGTGGGTGTTCTTATGCATATGCCCTCTCTTCTTATCAGCTGGACACTCTCTCTCCATTCTAGTCCTCTGTGGAGAAATTTACTTTCTATAAAAATATCCCTGTTGTTAGTTATAACAACAATAACGTTCTTTATAAGCCCCGCTTACATGCATCAGTTTACTTACTTACAAGCCTAAAATTCTGTGTTGATTTACTTTTATAGCCTTCTAATATGCTTCCCTCAGAACTGTCATGATTACCCAATGACTTTTAAAATCACGTTATTTAGTCTGTGTGCACACTACAACTACACACTTTCGTTTTCCTGCAGTTGTTTTTTTTCATAGTCACTGATTTTGCCAGGTTTTTTGGTGTTTTAGCTACAATCTTGTGGTAAGTAGTATTTGTGAACCTATATCAATAACTTTTTTTGAGAGTGAAGCAGTAGCTAAAGGAAAAGAAAGAAAAAATCAAAACAGGCATCCATTCAGTTACTAGTAACAGTTGTAACTAATAATGTTGTAATTCAATGTGGAAAGGTTTGATCAAACAGTTTTGTTGTTTGTACTTATATAATCTAAGAAATACAACATTTAAGCAATTTACAACTGTATGAGGGGAGGCTTCAAAATCAAAATGTTCATAGAAAAATGAAATGGAAAGAATAGAATTTTTCCACAAACTTTTACAGACCCCTTTTGTGTCACATAGTATTGTATGATTAAAATGTATAATAAGCAATACTAAGGATTCTGTGTGGTCTGATAAGGAAGGAGGTCCTAGCGGGGGAGGGAGAGACACCAACCCGAATGGCATCACTGCCTTCTCCTCCTCACAGCTCCACCTGTCTGAGTCCCATCTTGTCCCTTTTGCTCTTTGATGAATGACTGAATGTATGCATGTACGTATGTTGGGAAGAACAGAAAATTAAAAGAAAAAAATAACGTCTCCCAAACCTCAGCAGTCAGAAACAAAGCTCTATATTTTGGATGATTTCTTTTCCTATGTGTTTTTGTTTTTCATTTTTATAGAATAAGTTGGAAATGTTTGACCTATTTCCTATTTGGCTTTTTTCACTTTGTCCTTATGTCATGAGACATTTTCATAGCATGAATAATTCTTTGTATATCATCTCCTGTGATTGTCTTACTTATCTATTTAGATGCTATTGTCAAACCTGCTCTCTGTCAGGGGCCTTCCCTAAGGACCTCACTGGCTTTCACTGGACTCTCAGAACCCTCAGTTGATACCTCAGTTTGTGAAGTACTTGTGCTTAATTTTATCCTTGACCAGGATAAAATGATCTTTTCCCTGCTTGCCTTCCCACACTTATGCCTGCCAAACGTGAGATTGCGTCCCACACCTACTGAATGGTTCTGCAATTGACTAGAGGCGGCTGGGTTTGATAAGGAAGAATCAGGGGGTGGATAGACTGTGTTTCCCTATATAGCTTTCTATAAAATCTGATTTCTGTCTCTGTTGATTCAGGTCAAGGTGCAAAACCTAATGGCTTCATTCTTTTCACAATGGTGATTCTACTTCTAAGAAACCATTGGAGGAGCTGCTTCTGCTCTCAGGGTCCAAATGAGTCAGGCCAGAAGACTGAAATCTCTGCATGAGTGTGCTTAAGACCCTTCACACTGTTGGCTTTGAGCTGCAGGAAGCTGGACCTAAACCTTTATTCATCTTTATATTCAGCTATGTATGCAGATGTTTCTCTTCTGAAGAGATTGGCTAAAGCAGTGCTACTTGTGATAGTATTCATGCTTGGAAGTTCAGCACAGTTTGTACCAAGACTACACCTAAAATAAGCAAAGCCACAAACACCTACTGAACAAATCCAAAGTGAAAAATAATTAGGAGTGGACAACCTTCCACCCATACATGATTTTACTTCATTAATGGAGTATGGGTAATAAACATGTAATTGCCCAGTTTATATCTATAGTTCTGGAAGACCCACACACTTTAAAAGTGTATGATGCAGTATTAAAGTACTTAAAAGATGGTATGGTTACTTAAGAAAAAAAGGCTTACAAATTGCAGCCCTGGTGGACCAGTCTGGTCCACTGCCTGTTTTGGTAAATTAAAATAAAAAAAATTACAGTCATGCACATTCACTTTAACCTATGACTGCTTGTACTGTTTTTTTTTTTTTAATTTTTTTAATTTTTATGTTTCATTGTGAATTATGTGATAGTTAACATGGGAGAACATTAGTTTTACATCAATTCTATTGTATACCATTTCATTGCCATGGTTACAGTCCCCTCCATGCATCATCAACCAACCAAAGGGTATACCCTGCAAGTCTGCCCCCACCCCCATCCCCCTCTCCCACTCCCAACCCCCAACCCTGGGCATCAGCACACAGCCCCTCTCCCTCTCTGGGTCTAAAGTCCCCAACTGCTCTCTATCTCCCCATGTCATCGTCTCTGCCTCTATCTCTGGCATCACTGCTTCTCTGGGTAGGGTCCCGCTCTCTGCTCTTCTCCCTTGATGGTCCCAGGGACCTCTGCTCCTGGCTTGCAAAGTCAATCACTTCCCTCCTTTTGCTACAAAACGTCTACCTTTACATTTCCACCCCTCATAGATAACAATTATTCACTTGTACTCAATGTACTCTTAACAGCAAAAGTTGATATGTTCTGACAGTGACTGTTTGGCCTCCAAGCCTAAAATATTTATAATCTGTCTCTACTGAAAATGTTTGTTGGCCCCTGCTGTAGGAAAATCAATTTCCTTTGAGTTTCACTGTGACTTTTTTTGTATGGGTTTTCAAGCCCTTCTTATTTCCATCTGATTGTAGGCATCTGTTTTTCTGTCTAACCGGCAATAATTTAGAGCATGAGTGTACTCCCACTTAAAGCTTTTCGAGCACTTGTGTGTTGGTATTGTGCAAAGCTCTATTCAGATATTGACTCAATTAATCTTTATAAGAACTTGGTGAGGGGGAGTGTTTTAGTTACCTAGAGCCAAAACAGAAATACCACATGTAGGTAGCTTTTAAAAATAGAAATATATTTTTTCACAGGTGTAGAGGCAAGGTCTCAACTGTGTTGCTTCTTTCTGTGGGCCTCTTCCTGGTGTCTACCAGTGATCCTTGGCGTTCTTTTGGTTGTAGATGGGTCCATATATAGTGTCTGTCTTCCTCCTGTTTGTGTTTCTGTGTTTACTATGCTCTTTTTATAAATCAGAAGTGGCTACTTTTAGGACCCATCCTACTCTGCAGTGACCTCACAACACAACAGAGGATATGACCTATTTCCACACAAGCTATCACCCGTTACATATTTTAGGGGGAAACATTAGATCTCTAACAGGTAGATATTATTGTTCTCCTCTTACAAACATTGTCCAAGTAGAGTACCATGGCTAGAAAGTAGCAGAGCTAAGGCTTACATGCAGACAGTTGGCCCTGTTCTCATTACCACAAGCTGCCTTGAAAATGTTTTTTATGTTTCTCTTTATAAATACCTAACCTGATTTCTAGAAGGTATATAATACAATGGTGAAAGTGGATCAATAAGACTTTTTTGAAAGCATGAGATTATAGAGAAGAAAAGCAAGATTGGGTTGCAGTGTAGGATAGGCAGAAAGTAACACCAAAGGATCAGGCCCATTTAATCACTAGAGCTGACCCTTAAATTTAGTTGAATTTCATTACAGCCATATGATATAAAGGGAGACACACTCATTTAAGAAGTTCTTAATTGAAAACTCATTGTCCTTCTCCCTGTAGTAGCTTTATATTGCTGGAGGAGAAAAGTACCCTCAATTCCTTCAGGTTGTTTGAAGGAATCTTAGTTTTTCGGGTACAGCACCAATCAAGATGAGGGAAGAGGGAGAAAAAATCCCCAGAATCTTTGCAGAACTAATCTAGTCAAAAAGGAAATAATAGGAAAATACTTAATGTGCAAAAGTCTTGTGAGAAAATTGAAGGAAAGTCACCGAGCATACCAAAGACATAGGGAAATCACCCTTTAGATTATATACCATGGGAGACAGAAGGAGATCCCCAGCCTTCTAGAGAAGGTTCTAGAGAAGCCAGGAAGCATAAGAAACCTTAGGTGAGGGCTGGCTCAACCTGGCCACAGATTGAAAGAGGACAGTCCCATTAGGCATTTGGATTCCGAAAAATTGATACGAGGAATAGATGAATTGAAAAGGTCAAGGTTAGTTTGAACCTCAAGGTTGGTGGTTCAAGCTTAGCAACCACTCCTTAAAAACCCTATACAGGGTAGCTATGAGTTAGAAATGACTCAGTGGCAGTTACCGACAACAACAGTGAAGCAATAAGAAGAATACGGAACAAATTTGTGATGATACATTGGAAACATGGAAAGATGCTCATTCTGAATTGTAAAGTAAAATATAACAGATTACAAAATAGCATATTAAGTATGAGTGCACATATCCCTCCACGAGTCTGTCAGTTTGTTGGTCTGTGGTGGCTTGTGTGCTTCTGTGATGCTGGAACCCATGACACCAGTATTTAAGTACCAGAAGCATCAACCATGGTAGACAGGTTTCAGTGGACCTTGTACACTAAGATGGACAAGGAAGGAGACATGTTTGTCTCCTAAATGTTTGTTGTTGTTAAGTTCCGTCCAGTCGGTTCTGACTCATAGTGAGCCTGTACGGGGTTTCCTAGGAGCTGTTAATGAATTTGAACCACTGAACTTGTGGTTCAAACCGACCTTGCAGTCTAGTGCATTAACCTCCAGACTTGTCTATTGTTTAGCTGAAAATTGAGCCATGTGGGCGAGTTCATTTCTAGACCTGAAGGATGACCAAGGGCCATATTCTCAGGCTGGTGGGTTGTTTTTTTTTTGTTTTTTTTTTTTTTAATTATTTATTGTGAATTGAGTGATAGTTTATATGGGAGAACATCAGCTTTACATTCATCCTGTAGTATTTCATTTCATTGCAATGACTACAATCCCCTCCATGCATCATCATTCAACAGCATTTGCTTCTATTCTATTTCCTGTTTTTGTTTTGTTTTGTTTTTTATGTACACCAAAGTACTCAGGAATATATAACCATTCAAACAACTAAAGTGTACTTGCAAGCCTGCCTCCAGCCACCAGCACACAGCTTCTCTCCCTCCTTGAGTCTAGATTCCCCATCTGCTCCATCTCTCCATGTCATCATCTCTGCCTCCATCTCTGGCGTCGCTACTTCTCTGGATAGAGTCCCGTACTCCACTCTTCGCCTTTGATGGTCCCAGCATCCTCCACTCCTGTACTGCAAGATCAACCACTTCCCTCCTTTTATTAGAAAACATCTACCTTTACATTTGCAACAGTAGCAATCGGTCCTGATAGCAATTAATCACTATTGAACCATAAGAGTCTTATCCCCATCTCCTTGCACCAGCTGCATCCAGACAGGTTGGAAACCACTCAGTGGAGAGTCTACCATCCCCCTCACCCTCTGAAACTAAGCTTCCTCTTGAAAGCTAGTAAGCCAATCATTTCGTGCCTTTATAGTCCCCCATTTTAGGTAGCCAATGTCTGAGTTGCCCATCCATGTCCATCCTGTGTACAGAAGGGGTGGGAATGATCCTTGCTGTGAAGATTCGTTTCCTCTTTTAAACTACTAACATCAATAAGTATAGGCAAGTTCATCAAATTATAGCGGATTATGCTTTTTTTTTTCTTCCTCTAGTCGAGTTCTGATCATCCAGCCATTGAAGCCAGGTAATGTGGGTACTGTCTGCAAGTATGGGTGTTCTTGTGCATCTCCCCTCTCTTTATATCAGCTGGATGCTTCACTCTCTGCTCTAACCCTCTGTGGCCATGTCCCTGGGCCCAGGAGTCTCCAGGTCTTACCATACTGCTGGTCAACTAGGTCTCACTCCAAGTTGACGAGAGTCTATTGAACATCTTCATTGCTGCTTTTCCCCCCACTTCCTCTTACCGGTAGACCAATGTGGTCACCAGCAAGATTACATGCCTGCTTGTGTATTCCCTTTGAGTTTCAATCTTGGAAAGGGGTTTCCCTGAGGGACTTGGTTGCTTGCCTTGATGGCTCCCTGGTGAACTTGTGGTAGTCAACTCAGACTGCTGTTTTCGTTCTTTGATTTTTCCTGCTGGTCTTTCTTTCAATAAGTATTTTCTGTTCCTCTAGCTGCCCCAGGCTGGTCTGCTTGTCTTTTCAAGTGGAAATTTCCCACATCAGAAGATTCTGGATGGGGATCAGACCTAAGATCTTATATACTGCAAAGGCTCCGCAGGAAGCCTCTTTCACTGGGCGAGTTTTAGCTCCATTTTAGGTATTCCAGTCAGTTTTAGGCTGAAGATGGATTTACAAGCTTCCTTTAAGAGAGTGATGTTTCTGGACATTCCTTTCTCTCCCCTTCAAGTGTCTGTTTTACAATAGTAGGCAAGGGAAACCAAGATTCTTAAAAGACAGTCAAGCATCTTAACATTATTTCCCTTCTTTTACCCATTCAGACTATAAGGCTGGTCTTTTTTGTGATTTTGAGTTTCTCCTTTGCTATTCAGGAGAATACTATCTATATTCTAATACTATCTATATTCTAATACTATCTATACTATCTCTTTCAAAAGCTACTTATAATTTGGCAAATGAGTTCGCTCTTGCAGAATTACTCTTCACCCATTTGCTTTTCCTATTTCAGTGTCTCTCCTTCCACTACTGCTGCGGGCAGCCCATCTAGGGAAGCTTCCTTACTCATCTCTCTCAACCTCCGTCAGACTGGGAACTCATTTGCTCATGTTAAAAGATGATATATTACCAATACCACGAGTTCTTTTGTATGTTTGTTTGGGTTAAAGTTTTATAGTTGTGTTCTCTTTTTTCATTTTTATAAAATTATGAAATATAACACATAAACAAGAAAGTACACACATCAATACATGTTGTCACTGTGTACAGTCAGGTCGAGCCCAACTCATCACAACCCTACAGGATAGAGCAGAACTGTCCATAGGGTTTCCCTAGGGTAAAATCTTTATGGGAGCAAATTGCCTTTTCTCCTTTATATACATTTATAAGGAGCTACTGGAGGGGATTCAATCAGCCAGCCTTTTGGTTTTCAGTCAAATGCTTAACCATCGCATCACCAGAGCTTCTTATAAATATGTAGTAGAATAAATTATTATAAAGTAAACACCTCCCAAGATATGAAATGGCACATGGCTAGAAATCCAGAAGCTTCCCAACCTAAGAACTAATTTGGTGTTTGTTTTCTGTTTTTGAAGGTAAGTTTTCGTGTGGAGTTGCCCTTTGGAAAATGAGTTTTGAGGCCTGAGGGTAGAAGACATTTTTGGCGATCATAAACTTTGTCATCTCAGCCACTGTTTAGATGTTTTCACCCACAGAAACTGACCTCAGTATGGCTACCTTGAGATCTCCTGGTTTTTGCAGGTTGAAAATGAATATGGCAGTTACTTTATCTGTGATTACGATTACCTGCGTTTCCTGCAGAAGCGTTTCCACTACCACCTAGGTGATGATGTGCTTCTGTTCACCACTGATGGGGCACATGAAAAGTTCATCAAGTGTGGGACTCTGCAGGGCCTCTATACCACGGTGGACTTTGGAACAGGTCGGTATTTGTAATAACAGAAAACACAGCTAAGGCCATGCAGGGTTGGGTGGGGTTTTTTTAAATTTAATTAAAAAAAATTTTTGGTGAAAATATGCACAAGAAAATATACTCCACTTCAACAATTTCTACATATACAATTCAGTGACATTGTTTATATTCCTCAAGGTGTGTCACCTTTCTTGACGTCTTCCAAATGCTTTCACCATCATTAACATAAACTCATTGCCTTTAAGTTTCTTATCTATTCTTTTGAGTTGCTGTTGTCAGTGAGCTCCTGGGGATAATTACTTAATGGAGTATAGTGTTTAATGCAGACATGCTTTTATAATTAAGCTAAGCTATCATTTATGTCAAAGAAGGCTTTAAGGGATAATATTTCATGGTTTAAAGGTTTCTTTCAATAACACCTTCGGGGGTCATCTGGCCTCAGTGGCTTTAGAAAGTAGATTCTAAGAGACTTTTAAATTCTCAAAACTATAACTGTTTTTGTTACTTTTATTGGACAAAACTAAGGTGCCTCCTTAGATTTTTTTTTTTTTTTTTTTAGCTTTTATTGTGAATTGAGTGATAGCTTACATGGGAGAATATTGGTTTTACACTCATCCTATTGTATTTAATTTCATTGCAATGATACAATTCCCTCAATTTGCTTCTATTCCTTCTGCTGTTTTTTTTTGGATGTACACAAAACACTCAGAAATATATAATCATTTAAACAACCAAAGGGCACATTCTGCAAGCCTGCCTCCTATCTGCCAGCACACAGCCTTTCTCTTTCCATGAGTCTAGAGTTCTCAGCTGCTCTGTCTCTCCATGCCGTCACCTCTGCCTCCATCTCTGATGTCGCTGCTTCTCTTGATAGAGTGCCACATTCAGCTCATGCTCTTCTCCCTTGATGGTCCTACGGTCCTCTGTTCCTGGAATGTAAGATTAACTACTACCCACTTTATGTTAAAAAACTTTTACCTTTACAGTTGTAACAATTGCAATTAATCATGATTAACAATTTCCCACTAGTGGATCATGAGAATCTTTTTTTAAATATATATAAGTTTTTAATTGAGTGATAATTTATATGGGAGAGCATCAGCTTTATCGTATTTTGTTTCATTGCAATGATTATAACCCCCACCATGCATCATCATTCAACAGCATTTGCTTCCAATCCCTCTGTTTTGTTTTTTTGGGGATGTACACCAAAGCACTCTGGGATATATAATCATTCAAACAAACAAAGGGTATACCCTGCACACCAGCCCCTCCTCCACCAGCACACAGCCCCTCTCCCTCCTTGAATCCCCATCCACTCAGTCTCTCCACGTCATCGTCTCTGCCTCCATCTCTAGTTTAATGGCTCCTCTGGATAGGGTCTCGTACTCTCCTCTTCTCTCTTGATGGTCCCAGGGTCCTTTGCTCCTGGACTGCAAAATGCCTACCTTTACATTTGCAACACTCACAATCAGTCCTGATAGCAGTTATTCACAAGTGAAGCACAAGAGTCTTATCACCATCTCCTTTCACCAATCCCATCTAGACAGGTTAGAAACCACTCAGTGGAGATTCTGCCATTCCCCGCACCCTCTGAAATTAAGCTCCCTCTTGAAAACTTGTAAGCCAATCATTTCGTGGCTTTGTTGGGCACCCCCCGCCCCCCATTTTGGGTAGCCAATGTCTAAGTTGCCCATTCCTGTCAACCCTGTATACAGAGGGGGTGGAAATGATCCTTGCTGTAAATATTCATTCACTCTTTTAAGCTACTACATCCATAACTATAGGGTTTTTCCTCCTCTTTCTTCCTCTAGTCAGTTCTGTTCATCCAGGTGTTGAAGCCAGGTCAAATGGGCACTATCTGGAAGTATAGGCATTCTTGTGTATCTCCTCTCACTTCATATCAGCTGGATGCTTCACTCTCCGCTCCAGTCTTCTGTGACTATGTCCCTGTCTGTTGGCTTAGGAGTCCCCTGCTGGCCAACCAGGTCATGATCCAGGTTAACAGGAGTCTATTGAACATGGTCGGACTTAGCTCACAGCTTCATTGCTGTTTTTCCCCCACTTCCCATTATCAGTAGACCTGCGTGGTCTCCAGCAAGATTACATGCCTGCTCATGTATTCCCTTTGAGTTTCAGTCTTGGAAGGGGGTTTGTCCTGAGGGGACGTCATTGCTTGCAAGCTGCAAGAACAACTTACTTGTTCTTGTAGTAGTCAATCAGACTGCTTGCTGTTTTTGTTATTGATTTTTCCTGTTGATCTTTCTTTCAAGAAGTATCTTCTGTTCCTCCAGCTGCTCCAGGCTGGTCTGCTTGTCTTTTCAAGTGGTCTTATGCAATGCAAAGGCTCCACAGGAAGCCTCTTTCATTGGGGAAGTTCTAGCCCCATTTTAGGTATTCCAATCTGTTATAGACTGAAGATGGGCTTACAAGCTTTCTATAGTGATGTTTCTGGCTATTCTTTTCTCCCCCCTCAAATGTCTATGAATCATAAGAATCTTATCCCCATCTTCTTTCACCAGATCCGTCTAGACAAGATGAAAACTATTCAGTGGGGATTCTACCTTCCTCTGCACACTCTGAAACTAAACTCCCTCTTGAAAATTTGTAAGCCAGTCACTTTATGCCTTTATATATAGCACCCTCCATTTTAGGTAGCCAATGTCTAAGTTGCCTGTCCCTATCAACCATGTGTACAGAGGGAAGAGGTTTGATCCTTGATGTGAACACTTCTTCCCTCTCAGTTGGTATTGAGCTACTACATCCATAAGTATAGGTCAAGTTCATCAAATTGTAGCAATTTACACTTGGTTCCTTTATCAAAATTGTTTTGTCTTCCTTTAGTCGAGTTCTGATCATCAAGATAGGTCAAATGGGTACTATCTGCAAGTTTGGGTATTCTTGTGCATCTCCCCACACTTCATATCAGCTGGGCACTTCACTCTCACCTCTAGGCCTCCGTGGCTAGGTCCTTGTCCATGGGCTCAGGAGTCCCCAGGTCTCACCACACTTTGGTCCAACCAGCCCTTCCTCTTCTTTCTCTCATCTCCAGGTTTATGGGAATCTTTGGAACGTGGTTGAACTCAGTCCATTTCTTCATTGCTGCCTTTTCCCCTCTTCCATTCACCAGTAGACCAACGTGCTCGCCAGCAAACTTACATGCCTGCTCGTGTGTTCCCTTTGAGTTTCAGTCTTGGGCGGGGGGTGGGGGAGAGGTTTCCTGAAGGGAATTGATTCGTTCCCTGGAGAACAACTTGCTTGTTTTTGTAGTAGCCAATCAGAGTGCTGTTTTTGTTGTTATTTTTCCTGCTGGTCTTTCTTTCAAGAAGTACCTTCTTTTCCTCTAGCTGCTCCAGGCTGGTCTAGGCTTGGGCTTTTTAGTCACTCCTTTGCTCTAGGCAGTTGATTTTTAATAAATTTTGTTTATTTGATTGTTGCTGAGTATATACACAGCAAAACATACACCAATTCAACAGTTTATAAAGGTACAACCTAGTGATATTGATGACATTCTTTAATTTCTGCAACCAGTGTCACCCTCCTTCTCTGAATTATTCCTCCTTCATTAACGGAAACTTGCTGCCCCTTAAGGATTCTGTCATACTTTTGAGTTGCTGTTGTCAGTTTGATCCTGTATAGATAGTCCTTGAAAGAGCGTAATGCTTCAAGGCAAACCTTTAATTAAGCTAAAATGTTACTCAGTTTTAAGATGATTTCAGAGGAGATTTTTGGTTTAGGTTTAAAGATTATCTCAGGGCAGTAATTTCAGGGGTTGATTCATCCATCATACATGGCTCCAGTCTGAAGTCCTTGAGAATTCGAAATTCTGTTCTGCAAGTTCCCCATTTGATCAGCATTCTCCTGTGGACACTGATTAAAATGCAATAATGGTAACTGGGTACCATCCAGCCTTTCTGGGCTTATGGCAAAAGAGGCAATTAGCCACATATTGCAAATCCTCTTTCTATTCCTGATTCTCTTTCTTCCTCTGTTGTTCCAGAGGAATAGAAACCAACTGTTGAGCCTTGGATGACATGAGCAGTATTAAGTGGTCTGGGCATACTGAATGAGAATTCTCCAATTTCTACTACACTTACTTAAATAACTATTACATTTGATAGATATTACCGTCATCAAGTATAATAGTTACTGTTGTTGTAGTTGCCATGGAGTTGACAGGTTTGTGACTATCTTATGTCCAACAGAATGAAATGCTTTCTAATTTGTACCACTTTCATGATCATTGGAATGTTTAAGTCCATTCTTACAGTTCATCTTGTTGAGGGGTTCCCTAATTTTCACTGCCTTCCACATTACCAATCATGATACTCTTCTTTAGAATTTGTTCTTTCTTGATGATGTACAACCATTTTGTTATAATCCATAGTGTGTAGCAGAACTCATACCGAGCTAGCTCCATCCGTGCTGAAAACAAAACAGCAGAGCTGCTATACTATAAGTTCCTGGCTTAAAGACTAACTGTTTAGCTAACGTAAACTTTTGCAAGAGAGGGTTGCTTATTCAATTATTACTATTATATTTCCACCACCTGTCTTTTAGTTTGTAATAATGTGGTGGCTTGCTTACTACTATGATGCTGGAAGCTATGCCACTGGTATTTCAAACACCGAGATCACCCATAGGGGACAAGTTTCAGTGAAGCTTCCAGACTAAGACAGATTTGGAAGAAAGGCTTTTGCTAGCTTGGTATGAGTTCTGCTTTATTAGTTGTTGTTAAGTGCCATCAAGTCAGTACTTGTCGGGGACTGGCCTCGACACAAGTGTTTGGTTCACGAGGAGGGGATACCTGGCGGCAATAGGGATAGCACAAGAGAAGACAAAGAGACACAACAAGAGAGACAAAGAGACAACCCGAAACCAGGATGGATGCATTACTGGCGTCCGGCAGCTCTGGCGTGGTGAACATATTAGCCAGGAGGGCAGTAAGATCCCACATAGTAAACATCTTAGCTAAGCGGGCCATATGCACCCCTTACTAGCTGGTCAGTAACGCATGCCTAGACAGCCGTATAGCACACTCTTACCGCATGACTGTAATGCACGGCCTGCAAGCCGTAATGCACACTTTCACCGCCTGCCTGTAATGCACACCTGGGCCGGCCTGTGCCTCTGCTTTATTTAGGGGAGGAGCTTCACACCAAGCTGGGAGGGACCAAGGCAAGGTACAGCTAGCATACGTAATTCTCCAGACATTCAGGCACCTTTACACTGTACTTTGCAGGTTCGAATCCCAGGCCCGCAACTTGGTTTCTCAGGCTCAATCAACATATCTATAGCCCCTGAGCTCAGTTGGGCTATAGATATGTTGGGGGAAGGTGAGAGGGAAGGTCAAAAGGCTTGGCTTCCTGAGCCAGGTTTGCAGGAAGACGCAAGATGCCCAGGTGAATGGGCTGCACCTGGGAAAGGATTAGGGAGGCTGTCCTTTTGTCTATAGAACAAAGAACCGGGAAGTAGCAAAGCTATTTTTAGTTAATCCTTTGGAGAAAAGCTTAACCTTTGAAACCTTTACAGCCTCGGCTTAAGGAAAATATTACATTTATCTGTGGATATCAGGGCTCATGTATGGAATTAGTAATAAACGTAACTAGACACTAAGATGGAAAACAATTTGCCATGACTGCCAGGTGGCTAGAGTCTGTTCCTCAGAGTTTGCGGCCTGTATTGTCTGCAACACTCGGGCCCACTGGGCCTTGAACTTCTGACCAGGTCTACACGGTCTGCAACAAGTTCTGACTCATAGCAACCCTGATTAGGGTTTCTGAGGAGTGGCAGGTTAGTTTGAACCGCCAACATTGTAGTTCAAACTGACCTTGTGATCCAGTGCTTATCCTATGGCACCACACCAGGACTTTGTTAGTTGTCCTGCTCTATTAGGGATGACCAACCTAGAGGAGACCTGATGTAGCACTGCAGGATAATGTACAGGACTGAAACTTTTGATTTTTCGGTAATCAGCCAAGTGCATTAACCTTTTGCACCACCCAGAGACTCCTGAACATACTTTACACCATCGTTATTTTCCCACACAATGTCTAACACTGTAAACTGTGAATGGCTGAAGGTGATTTGGTAGATGCTTAGCAATCATCTTGCCTCACTTGTAAGCTGCAGAGAGAGGTTCCATGAATGAAAGTCGTAAGTGGGCAGGCAGTGAGACCAGGATGCTACAGGTGAAAGTATACATTCAGGGAATCTTCATTTGATGACAGCAGTTTTTAAATGAAATGGTTACAGCTAAATGTAGCATATGATCCTGGATAGACTTTTTTTTCTTTTTTTTGCTATTGGGTCATTTGCTATCTTTGTGTTATGTTTTGTAGATTAGATAATAGTATTGTTTCAATGATAATTTTCTGATTTTTATACCATGTTGTAATTCTTTATAGAATAAATTCTATTCTTAGGACTAAATATTATTCTTAGGAAACACACAGTAAAGTATTTAGTGGTAAAGGGGCATCATGTTTGCAACTATTTTCCAATGTTTCAGGAAAATATAAGTATGTACATAGCGAGAAACAGATAAAGTAAATGTGAACAAATGGTAACAACTAGGGAATCTGAACAAAAGGATTATATTTTTGTGATTTTTCTCTAAAATGGAAATTATTTTAATATGAAGTTAACAAGCAAACAAATAAGGGAGTTTGTCAAGTAATTTCAAACTTGCTGTTCTCCCCCTAAGGCGTCTGTACTTCATGCATATCGGATCACCAACAGTGACTCTCTCTTTCTCTTTCTCATTACAAAAGACTGAAATGTGGAAATTAAATATTTTTAGGGAGGTTCTTCTGCATCACACGCACATGTACACCAAGAAAGAGAAACAATGGAAACAAAGAGAAAGAACTCAGTTGAGGTGACTGGAGTGTTTCTAGAAGCATGGTACATTGTGCAGAGGGTTTGGTGATGAAATAGCTCCTCTGCAAAGCATTGCAGAGGAAGTGGCCTGCTGGTTTCATCATGCTTTGGCATGCTTCCCATTGCAGTGATGAAAGAGTACAGTATTTATGTTGTTGTTGTTGGGGCAGAAAATAAAAGAATATTATGAGTTGATGTTAAGTGATACTTGTATGTGAGGTGAGAGCATGGTTGTTATTTGGGTTGAGGAGTGAACCACAGTGTGCCTGGAGTGGATGGCCCTCCAGTATAGGCCCTTGGTCGACTTCATTCATCTATGTTATGGGAGACGGCCATAGTTTGAGGGTGAGATCACACAGGTGCATGAAAATAGTGAGTATTCAGTGTCCCACATTTGTAACTGAGATGACTCTTAGTTATGTTGATGCCATGTTTGTCAGAGTAAAACTGGTTTACAAAAGAAGATGGTCACATCTTTCTTCTAAGTCACCACTGGATGAACTTGAACCTCTAGCCTTTTGGTCAGCATGCTAGCTGCACCACCAAGGACTCCATTAATGTCTTGGATTTTACACAGCAGAAATTTATTGTCTCCTAGTTCTTGAGGCTAGAAGTCCAAAATTAGGGTGTCAGCAGGGCCATGCTTTCTCTGAAGGCTTTGGGGGACAAAGATCCTTCTTTGTCCCTTCCAGCTTCCAGTAAGCCTAGATTTTCCTTGACTCATGTCACCATAGCTCCAACGTCTGCACCTGGTTTCTTCTTTTTCTAAGGACCCCAGCCATACTGGATTAGAACCCACCTTGTTCCAGTGTAACCGTATGTTAACCTAATTACATCAGCAAAGACTATTTCCAAACAAGCTCATACTCACAGGTATTAGAGGTTAGGACTTTAACTTAACTTTTGGGGGAGACACATTATCAATCCCTAACACTCACCTAATTCTTTACAATGAGAAATACTGCCACAAAATAAATGAGGTTCCACTCTTTCCTGAGCTCCATGATCCTTCCAGAATAATGTCCTTGCAGAAAAGCCAGAGACCAAGCGGAGAACCAAGGGGTAGTTTGGAGTGTCTTGGTTGGCATCGTTTTTACTCTAGGAAGCCTGTTGTGGGAAATGAAATGTGGAGTTTAATGCTCTGGTTGGTGTGGACCTGGTCTACGCTTACTTTCATAGACGAGAGTATTACCTTTCTGTGGAGACGTTTTGGTTCTGTTTAGAGGAAGAAGAATGAGTAAATGACACCTAGGCAAGCCAAGTCACAGGCATCCTAATGGAATATTTCAGAAGGAAAAATTAAGGTTAAATGGTCTGAGATGGCTGCTGACTTACACATTAGAATCATAGTGTTATTGGTAGATGGCTGTTGAGTTGGTTGTGACTCATAGCAACCCCGTGCACAACTGAATGAAACAAAGCTCGGTCCTGCACCATCCTCACAATTGGTCTTTGGCTTGAGTCCATTGTTGCTACCACTGTATCATTCCATCTTGTTAAGGGTCCATCTTCTACGTTACCAAGCATGATGTTCTTTTCCCTCCTGATAATATGTCCAAAATATGTGAGATGATATCTCACCATATGAATTCTAAGAAGCATTCTGGTTTGAAAACTTTTCTCCATCCATGTCATTAAGATCAACTCTACTTTGAGGAGGCAGCTCTTCCCTCGTCATACTCTGAGTGTCTTCCAGTGCTATATCAGACACTGTACTGCTACTATTCATTAGGTTTTCAATGGCTTATTTTTCAGAAGTAGACAAATCTGTCTTAATCTGGAAGCTTTGCTGAAGCCTGTCCACCACGGGTGACTCTGCTGGTATTTGGCATACTGGTGGCATAGTTTCTAGCATCACAGCGATACACAAGCCACCACAATACAATAAACTAATAGATGAGTGGTGGGTGATTCTCAGTGTGCCCTATTATTCAGGGATAAACACAATTAGATCACTCTTAGCCCATTGTCAATTAACTGGCAAATAGCCATGACCTCATTATATATGTGGCGCTATGGCAACTACAAGGAAGCACTGGCAGAGTCAGCCCTTCCGGTAGAGAGGTTTGCATCCATCTGTGTCAACCAGATGGCCATGTGAAGAGATAAGCACACAAAGGGAAACTCAGGTGAAGAAGGCAGGCCTATGAAGTGAACTCACACATAGCTCAGTCAGGATCTGTTCCAAAGGAAGCAGTGTCCTGTGGTCCTCATACATCCATCAAAAGGATGAGCTGAGTCTGGTCTGAAACTAGCTTGGAGGTGTTCTAGGCACATGGGGTGTTGCAGGGCCAGGGTGGGGGTGAGGACTTCAGGCATAAGTCTCACAAAGGGCTCTTTTTTTATTTACCTTCTCGTCATTCTCATGACTCGTCTTTCTTCTCCGTCTCATAATTTTCAGGTTTTAACATCACAGCTGCCTTTCAAATCCAGAGGAAGTGTGAGCCCAGAGGACCCTTGGTAAGAGATGGGCATGAGGAATGTAGAGACTATTGGCATATACTAACTTTGTTAAAGTTGTTGGGCGAAGGAGATTACATGCTCTAGAAGACTGGAAGCAGAGTCTGCATTATTTTGGCTCTTGGATCAGCAGCTGGTAGAATTGTGTGTACTTTGCCTAGCTGGAAATGTGGATCATAGCAGAAGCAATGTTACTATTTGATAGTGAGGCCCCTAGTGGAATGGAACAGAATGGGGGGGAGGGGCATGTGAAAGTTCTTCCATGTCTTAGACTCTGTGTTTTGTATACTTCTCACTTGGTTCTTGTGGCAACTCTCATAACTGATATTACTGTCTTCATTTTCATTGAGGTTCAGAGAAAATATGTCACTTGCCCAAGGACCTTCAGCAAGGTTCTGAATTCAGGTCTCTATCCCTAGCAGCCTCTTTGTGACAGAGCTTCACCTTTAGTGTGTTTATGTATCACTTGGGGGTCTTGTTAAAAGGCCAAATTTGATCTTCTGGGTCTGGGGTGACCCCTGAGATTCTGCACTTCTAACAAGCAACCAGGGACTGCTAAGAATGTGGGTTTGTCAGCCACACTGAGTTGCAGGGCTTTATGGTCTCCTGCGTGGGCTGCTAGGAGGAAGAGGAGACCAGAAGGCCCAGATAGGTATACCCTATCTTTTAATCCAGCCCTCTGCTCTTCACTGCTTCACCAGTAATAGTAGTGGTTGTTACTCAGCCCAGTTTAAGGGCTTTGATCATGTGTGTTCTCTGTAGCAGGTCTGGCTGCCCCACCTGGGTATTAAAGAACCCGTTCTGAGTCTGTCTCTGCTGAATTAGTGGTGCAAAGCCTACATTTGAGACTTTGCGTGGAACTGTTTCCTAGAGCCTGAGACAAGAAGGTCCTTGACCCATCCACATTTACTTGTCTTTCTCCAGACCAAAGGTGTGGCAGGATTATGCCCAAAAGAACACGAACCACCTGAACCACTGCTGTGCAGTTATTCTTGTACAAGACTAGCATATTTGAAGTCAGCCAGAGAGCTGAAAATCAGGATTCACTGGAAGAATGAATTTAGAGCTGATTATATTATAAAATTACTATTCAGTTCCTTTGTCTGACACACTTCTTACTGATTTGAGACTGAGGTTTCGTTAACAAAATCTGGATGTAGCTAGGATTTTTCAGGAATGTTGGTATTGTGTGAAGCAGAATCTCACTCTGGAGCCATTGGTGTCTGTGGCAGAAGCATAGGCAAAGCTGTTGTTGGAAGTCCTCACTGGTACCCAGCTCAGGGATAAGAGCACATGAGCAACTCTTTCCAGCTTTTCCATGGTTGGAAACTCTTGCATTTTGTACTCTTCCGTCTATCTTAATGTCCATGTCCTTTTCTCTTTTAGGTCAATTCTGAATTCTACACTGGCTGGTTAGATCACTGGGGCAAACCTCACTCCATAGTCAGTACTAAAGCAGTGACCTCCTCCCTCTATGACATACTGGCTCTAGGGGCGAATGTGAATTTGTAAGTGCTAAGTGCCCAAGAGGAGGGTGGACTGAGACGGTTGGAAATTCACAGTGGAATACTAATGTCTCTTCTCTTTTTTCTTGTAGGTACATGTTTATAGGTGGGACCAATTTTGCCTATTGGAATGGTAAGAGCAGTTTAACACCTATTTGTATAAGCTCGTGCTAGAAAATATCTGATGGTTGATATTTGGGGTTGTGTCTGCCGATAATTTTTTATTTTCTGTTTTATGTCTTTTCCTAAATTTTCTTTTATATAAGAATTACCTGTATAATAGGAGTCCTGGTGTGGCGCTAAACTGATAACCACAGGTTGGCAGTTCAAACCCACCAGACTGCTCCTTAGAAACCCTACACAGGGTCACTATGAATCAGAACTGACTTGACGACACTTAACAACAACACCTGTATAATTGTTTTGTTATTGTTTAGTTTTCCTGAGTTTTATTTATTTTGCTAGCATTTAAAAAATGATTTTTATTTTGCTGTTATTGGTGAGCGTATACACAACAAAGCCTATACCAGTTCTACATGTACGGTTCAGGGACATTGATTATATTCTTCTAGTGGTGCAACCATCTTCAACTTCCTATTCTGAATTGTTCCTTCCACATTCACTGACACTGAAGTTTCTTATCTAAGCGTTTGAATTACTCTTGTCAATTTGATTTCATAGAGATGGTTTTGAAAAGATCATAACACTGAAGGCATGTGTTTTTACTAGCTAAATAAAACTATTGTTTAGTTTAAGAAAACTTCAGTGATATTTTTGGTTTAAGGTTTAAAGGTGATCTCAGGGAAATAGTTTCAGAGGTTCATACATCCTACATAGCTTCAGAAAGGGAATTTAAAATTCTGTCCTGCATTTTCCCTGTTTTGATCAGGATTCTTCTATGAAATCTTTGATCAAAATACTCAGTAATGTTAACTGGGTACCATTTAGTTCTTCTGGTGTCATGGCAAAGGACGAAGTTGTTCATGAATACATGGATTGAATATCCTCCTCTTATTCCTCACTCTCGCTTTTGCCTCTATTGCTCAAGGTGAATAGAGACCAACTGTTGTGCCCCAATGGCAGCTTTCAAGCTTTAGGACTCCAGGCACTACACAATGAGGTGGAACAGAAACACTCACGTTATTAGGCCGTTTAACTGGAATGTCCTATGAAACCATGACCATAATCCTCTATACCAAGAAGTCAGAATCCATGAGGTGTTTGGTTATATCTGAGTATCCTCAGCAACTACTCTTTGTCATTGCTGTAAATTTCTCTCACAACTCTTTGAACTTTTTTCTCTGCCAATTCATCTTTTTATAGGCGTACAGCATATTAACAGCAATTACAGCAACTGACTATGCAATCCTGCCCTTAATATATGTGATTTTTCCATCATTATCATCTCTTTTAAAAACTTTTTATTGTGATTTGCATGAAAGTTTACAGAGCAAATTGTTTTTCTTTTAACTTTTTTGTGTGAATTGGGTGAAAGTTTACAAAACAAATCAGTGTCCCATACTGAAGAATTCACATTTTGATTCATACATATTGAATGCAATCTGTACAATGTAACGTTACTTAGTCCACTTCCTCCCTGTATTTCCCATGTCCAGTCCTCCTTTGTTATTAACCCTTCTGAACTTTGTCCTTGGGTTAAAGTTTTCATATCAAATGGTTGGTTACTCCTAGGTGTTCGTACCTCGCTAGTGATGTTCCCCTTGTAGACCTATCTGTTGTTTGGCTGAAAACCGAGCCAAGGGAGTGAGTTCAGTTCCATACTTGAAGGGTGATTAAGTGCTATAGTTTCAGGGTTCTACTGGTCTCTATCCAAGCAGTAAGCTGGCCTTTTTTTTTTTTTTTGATTTTGTGTTTTGTTCCACATTTTTCTCTCATTCTATCCAGGATCTTCTAATATGATCTCTTTCAGAACAGTTGGTAGTGACAGCTGAGCACCACTTAGTTCTTCTGATCTCAAGAGCCATGAAGACTGATGTCCCTATGGCCCATTAACTAGTATAATGGACTAATTGTTTCCATATGTGTTTGATATATGGACTGGGAGAGACCAATGACTGAGTTACACCTGAGGTGGCTTTTAAGATCCCAGTCGATACTCAGCAGTTTGTTATTGATAAGTGAGTGCCATCTAGTCGATTCTGACTCATAGCGACTCTGTATAGGGTTTCTGAGGAGCAGCAGCTGGTGAGTTTGAACCCAAGTACAGTGTATAATATTGTCTTTTTGGACTGCATTACACTATTTGACTGTGATGTCCCCTGAGACTATTGTCCTTAGCACTGAACTCAGTGACTCATTCCCTCAAGGTGTTGGGTTATGTCTAAGAGGTTTTCATTAACTTTATGCCATGTATGCTCCAGTATTTTCATGACTATATTTGCAACATAGGTAAATGTGTATGTAGAAATATCATCTTTCAAACCTGTATATATTTGTGGGTATAGTCCCATTCTCCTTACCACACTTGTTCATCTTGCTTATCTATCTGAGACTGCACTTGTAGATTCTTGTTATTACAGGACCATGTATTCAATAGTGTTTATCTCTTGTTGCCTTTAACTCTTGAACTCCTCCCTTTGTCTTTATCATTTTTTGCTGACCTTCCTCTTATTGCACATTGCCTTCCCCATTACTTAAGTTAATATGTGTGTACTTTCTAGTAAGTAATTTATCCTACTGTTCTCCTTCCACCTCGGTAACCATCAAAGAATGATTCTTTTGTGTGAAAAATCTTTTCTTGAATTTTTTATAATACTGCTTTCTTGCAATACAAGGGCGCTTCAGAAAGTTTTTAGAAAATTCAGTTATCTTCTTTTATTTTCCTTTTCTCCCCATTATCTTTTCCCTTTCTTTCTTTCTTTTTTTTACAAAGTCTGTATTACAAACATTAGGTAATAGTGACAAAATTACAGACAACAAAATATTCAGATTGCATCACAGTCATACACCAGAACTTTACTTGTAACAAAACAATGAATTTTGTCCCAGGCACAATGAATGAAAATGAGCTACACAGTGCATTCTTTTTTTTTTTTTTTCTTTCGGGTTTTATTTTACTATTATTTTTTTAATGCTTTACTATGAATTATGTGATCGTTTACATGGGAGGACATCAGCTTCACATTGACCCCGTCATATAGTTTCCTTGCCATGGTTACAATCCCTTCCATGCATCATCTATCAACCAAAGGGATAACACCGCAAGCCTGCTCCCCCACCCCACCCCACCCTGCCCCGGTCATCCGCACATTGCCCCCCTCTCTCTCTCCAGGTCCAAAGTCTCCAGCCGCTCCATCTCCCCATGTCATCTTCTCTGCCTCCATCCCTGACATCACTGCTTCTCTGGGTAGGGTTCCATTCTCTGCTCTTCTCCTTTGATGGTCCCAGGGTTAATCATTTCTCTCCCTTTGCCTCAAAACATCCACCTTTACATTTCCAGCCCTCACAATCAGTCCTGATAACAATTATTCGCTGTTGTATCACAAGGGACCTATCTGCATTTCCTTTCATCAGCCCTGACTAGGCAGAATGGATACTGCTCAGTGGAGATTCTACCTTTCTCCACACCCTCTGGATCTAGGTTCCCTCTTGAAAGCTTGTAAGCCAGTCACTTCTTGCCTCTGTAGCCCCCCCATTCTGGGTAGCCAATGTCCAAGTTGCCCATCCCTGTCCTCTTTGTGTGTGGAGGAGGTGGGAATGATGCTCGCTGTGAAGATTTATTCATTCTTTTGAGCTATTGCTTCCATAGGTGTGTATCAAGTTAATCAAATTGTGTCAGATTATTCTTTTTTCCCTCTTCTTTCTTCTTCTGTTTGAGCTCTGATCATCCACCCATTGAAGCCAGGTCAAGTGGGTATTATCTGCAAGTGTGAGTGTACTTATGCATGTGCCCTCTCTTCTTATCAGCTGGATGCTTCATTCTCCAATCTAGTCCTCTGTGGCTATGTCACTGACTCTGGGTCCAAGAGTCCCCTGGACTTGGCACACTGCTGCCAACCAGGTCTCCATCTGGGTTCACAGGAGTCTGTTGAGCATTGTAGGGCTTAGTTTGTAGCTTCATTGCTGTTTTTCCCTCACTTCCCCTTATCGGTGACAAAAGTGATCACCATTCAGAGCATGCATTCCCATCGAGTCTTAGTCTTAGAAGGGGGTTTGCCTTGAGGGGGACTCGACCACTTGCCTTGATGTCTCCTGGGTGAGCCACTTGTTTGTTCTTGTAGTAATCAGTCGGCCTGCCTATATTGTTTTGTGATTTTCTTGTCAGTGTTTCTTTCAGGACGTATCTTCTGTCCTTCTGGCCACTCCAGGCTGGTTTCACAGTGCATTCTTGACAGACACATGTAACCAAACCATTCTTTAACTGCTCCTCACCATGACTGTGAGGGGTAGGAGGGAAGAAAAGTGAATCATACAGACAGAACTCTGTTTCAAGTAATTATAAAAATCCATAGCTGCAACCTTTAATATGTACTGGGCAATTGTCAAAATTGAATCTGTGGGAACTGACCTCTGAAAATTACAACAAAAATCAATAGGAAGTGATTTAATATAAATATACAATTGTCCCAGTATCAGGACCTTCATAATACAGGCATAAAGAGATGATAATCAAAACAATTTCTTAAAAGTTAACACTCCTTCTTAGCATACTAGTCAATAATCAAAATCAAATCCGTACAAACCTAGGAACGCAGAAAAGGACCAGAGAGGATGTTCTGTTGCCAAGTTTCACTATGTACTGTAAACTGCTGTCTTTACTGAGACCTTCCCTGAAGAGAGCTGAGGGTTCCAGGTCCTCTGTGGAAAGTGTATTGTCCTGGAATATCATCCTTACTTCACCAGATGGCCCCAGGTCACTCACTGTCAAATGCAATGGAATTGACCTGAACAGAGATGGCTCCTCCCCACTAGCAGTCCTTCTTCTTCTTAGCTTTCTCTTGCCAGAAGGATCTGCCTTTGGTGAATCAGCACCTGATTGGCTTGTTCTCCCCAGTCTCCATCTGCACCTTGCTTGGCATCAGAGGAGTTGTCTGCCACTTGAGCATCCACATCAGTGTCCTCTTCCCTGACTCTCCGGAATGGGGATGACACCCTTTTCTCACTTTTTTTCCT